GCATTACAAGTTCGAGCCAGAAAGCTAAAAAAAAGTTAGACCAGGGCAATTATCAAATGTTCATATGAGAGTCCATTGGAATTTCTTGACAAGGGCTTCCAAAAGCATCCCTCTATTGGGTTCTCCTCGTTTTTCTTTTGTCTTCCAAGGCTGGACTCTAGAGTGATGGATTCAGGATTTGCTTTCAGATTGGATTTATTTTTATTTTATGTATATGAGTGTTTTATCAGCATATATGTAAATGCACCTGTGCTGTGCAATTCCCATGGAGGTCAGAAGAAGGCATCAGGTCCTCTGGAACTGGAGTTACAGATGGATGTTAGCCACCATGTAAGTGCTAGAAACCTCATTTTTATGACTAAATAATATTCCATGGTGGATATACCACATTTGGTTTACCCACTCATCAGTTGATGATCTTTCAGTTTTTTCCACCTTTGGGGTTGTTGTCAATAACAACACTATGAACCTTCATGCAGACATTTATGTGTTGAAATATGTTTTAATGGTCTTGGGTTAGCCCTGCCATATGAGTGCTGGGAACTAAGCCCAGGTCCTCTGAAGTGCAATCAGTGCTCTTAACCCCAGAGCCACTCTCCAGCCCTCCCCCCAGTTGATCTTTGACAATTCTGCTACCAAACTTCAGTGCATACAATGGCATGCTGTTCAGCCATGAAGAGGAACGAATGTCTTATATGGATCTCAGAGGCATTGTGTGTGTGTGTGTGTGTATGTGTGTGTGTAGGAGGAGGAGGAGCTGATCTCAATATATGACACTGTAATACTTCCATTTCTAGAATATTCTTGAAGTGGCTAAACCAGGGTTAGAGAACAGATTAGTGGTTTACAGTGGCACAATTGGAACAGGGTCAAAACACATGAGGCTGGAGGTTGTTACATGAATATACACATGGGATAACTGCATAGAGGTCCTTATAGACACACACGTAAACAAATGTGTATGGAAACCTTTGAGAATCAAATCAGGGCTGCAGCCCAGTTCATAGTATTGTGCCCACATCAACTTCCTGTTTTGATTCTGCACTACATCATACAATATGTCACCTCTGAGGGGAAACTAGAGGAGGGGTCCACAAACTCTGTGCCCTCTAGGCGCAGTGGCCATCCACTGGAGCACGGTCAACCTACCAGGAAACATACCCTTAAAGAAAACTGACTCTCCTCCCCAAGAAGCCATCAACTGTCTATAAACCTTCAGTTAGGAGTAGGGAGGGGCCCATGAGCACCTCCCTCTCCATGCTGGAGTGTGATTGACTGATCTGTCCAGGTCTTGTGCAGCAACCACAGCTGCTGTGAGTTGATGAATACAGCTGTCTTGTCATGTCCAGATAGCACTTTCCTCCCCTGCCCTCCCCAGCCTCTGGCTCTCAAAATCTTTCTGTCCCCTCATGCACATTCTTCCTCCCATTTTTATAAACCAAACCTTAAATTTTCCTTTACATCTTGGCCTCGTGAGTGTCTCACCTCTGTACCCCCAAGAACATGTACAGACTTCCGACGTGGCTCTTAATACAAGGCATCGCCTCACTAGCCGTCTCTCACCTTTCTTCGAGGGTGAGTCATTATCTGTGACGCCTAGAACAGCAGTATATAGACATACAGCACGTGTTTGTTGGTTGAATGGGTAAATCAAAGAGAAAGTAGAAATGGAAATTGAGAGGAAGTGACGGTGAGAAGAAACCTCAAAATTACGCCCCCTCCTGTCCTGTGGCCTCCCCTTCCTCACAATGCCTGCTCTTTCTTAGCAATTCCCATCTGGTTTCTGCTCCCATTGCCTTGTTGACCTGTTCTCAAAGTTCATCAGTAACCTTGTGCACATCACGTGCAGTGGCCCCCTTCATGCTAGCTCACTCCTGCCTTTCTATAACATCTCCCTTCCTTTGAAACATGCATGCTTGGTAGCACCCCATCTTCCACCTATTTCTTCTCTGGCACCTTGTTCAACGCCCTTTCCCTCCAATGGATGCCACGTCGCTGACTCTGTCCTTGGTCCTGAATGCTCACCTGCCAAGGCCACCATGTCTTCACGACTCTATCCTTGGTTCTGAACTTTCACGTGCCGATTTCACCTCTCCCTGGGCTCTACGTAATCTTTCCCTGTTCCTTCCTCTCCAGCCTTCAACACTCTACTAGCCCAATCACTAGACTCCCAGTAGACTCTTCTGTCTGTCACTCTAGCCACACAAAGAAAACTAGGCTATGCACCATCCAAACCTGCCTTTGCTTTGCCTCACCATCAGTGATTTCCTGTTTCTCGGGACTCTCAGGCTTAGCTCTCCTCTCTCCCAGACTCTTCCTTGAAGATGATGTGCCACACTAGACAAGCCATCTCAACTCATATTCATCATCTCCTTTTGGCCTGCTCAAGTCCATCCAATGCTCCCAATGAAAATGCAGACAAGAGTTGAGTCCTAAGCCAACATGACATCTCCAGCTCCATCTCCAGCTCCTAGGCTGGCTCCATTTGTCCTGACACAGGAACGTTTCACTGTGCTGGAATCACATGATGGTTATTTTCTGCCTCTCTGGCATTGTTCCTCTAAGGCAGGCTTGAGCCTGAGGGTGGAGAAAGAGGACTAGCCTGATGCAAGGACTGAGTGGAGGTGGCAACACTTGCTTGTGGCTAACTGTGTAAGTCCTTCCTGCCAAGTATTACAAGGAAAAACTGACTAGCATTCAACAAACTAACTGAGCCTCTTTCTGAGCTGCGGACGTCAGTGGTGACTGTTGCATTGAACCATTGGAGGCAATAGCTCCTAGCCCTGCACCCTGTCTTTGCAAAACTATCTTCCTTCCTTGTAGAAAGCATTAAGTGTTGACAGGTTGTCTCATCTAATCTCTAAAGTGAACCGAGATGAACCCTTGGTTAATGCTATGCACAGGAGAAACCACCCCAACTGGGGAAATCCAGGAGTGATACTAGGGGTTACCACCACCTGCTTTTTCACTGATGCTCTGTCATATCCCAGAACTTTAGCTTGTAGATTCTTGGCTATGTCCAGTCCAGGAAGTATGTGCTAACTCTGCCATATACTGTCTGACCACACGACAGATGGAGGCTTAAAGCCCACAGAGATCCAGAAGACATGAAAGGACCCTGTGTGTTCAGGAGAGTGGACAGCCACGTGAACATGCTCTGAAAGTCCAAACGCCCTGGGTTGTCCCAGAAGAGAGGACAGGGCCTGTGAGCTCAAACTGTGAATGGTGTGTTTTTATGGAGCACTCTCTCTGCAGGACAGAAATGATATTGCCCTGTGGGGGGGTCACTGACCTGAGGAGCTTTTGTTTCAAAAAGACCAAGAAACAAGACTGATGGGCAAGCAGCTTCCAGAGGATTCTTGGCCTTTGGAGGTGACATGAGACCTGGGGAGGAGAAAGGAGGAGCCCCAAGTGGGGGTAGGACTTGGTCCCTCTTACATGATGAGGACTCCAAAGGAGTCTAATATCCAAGACCCTCTGATGTCAAATGCCCCCCAAGCCCACCAGGGGGTTGGGTCTTCAACAAAAGAGTCAAGACAAAGGTCTTGATTTTATTATAAAAAGTTTAGTTCTTAGCAGTCAGGTGAGCAATCACAGAAATGGCTTCTTGTTGTGAGGAACACGGATCTTATATAGGAATCAGATTTGGGGTAACCAAGGAATCACCAAGGATATTTTACTAACAGAAAGTAACTACGGACGCAGCACGTTGCTGCATTACCTCACCAACTCCAGTGCCCAAAGACCGAACCGAAAACTAACTTTCTAGAAGACCTGATTTATCATGGAGACACAGCCTGTCAGCTCAGACCCCTGAAGCAGAGAGCTCAGAAGCTCTTAAAGTGGCACTCTTCTTTTTTCCTATGCTCATGGCAAGCATGGCTCCTGACACTCTGATAACCAGGACCCTCTTTTGAGCCACAGGAAAAGTAAGTCCTTCCAGGATTCAGGCATTGCTGCCCCCCTGCTACGGAATCCAGAGTCAAATGTGTCTCTCATCCAGTCTGCAGGGCTACATCCCTGCCCGGGGCACTCTTGAGATGCTTCACTTCAGGGCTCCTGGACAGGTGACTCTACCTTCCCCTAGGAGCCCTTGAGGTCTGTTCACCCAGAAGACAGCACAAAGCATGCTCAGCAACAGGGGCAGCTTCAGGAAGACCAGAACCAGGAAGTGGATGCTGCTGAGCAGGGACCTATGGGGATAGAAATGAGTTCAAGGGGGAGGTTCCAGGCCCATCTCTCCCCACCTCTCACAGTGCTTTGCCTCCAGAGCCCAAATAACTCAGAATCAAACCAAGAAAGGGCCCAGGGGAGTTTCTATCTGTGATCCCATCACCCATCATTCCTTCCTGAGGACAGGCTGTGGAGTCTTATTAAGAAGTAATCTGGGAAGACAAGAGGAAAGGGTCCCGCAAGGCCCAGCTATCTAGAAGCATGCTCCAGACCACCTGCTCTCTCCCCTTTATCAATTGATGTTTTTGAGACAGAGACTCATTATGTATCCCTGGAACTCACTATAAAGACCAGGTTAGTCTCAAACTCACAGAGATTCATCTGCCTCTGCCTCCTGAGTGCTGGGATTAAAGGTGTGTGCCACCATGCCAGGCTTTGATTTTTTTTTTTTCCTTTTTGAAACAGTCTCATGTAATATGTAGTATAAGCTGGCCTCTCACTATGTAGTGATGACTTTGAATTTCTGGTCCTCCTGCTTCTGTCTCCCTATTGTCAGGGTTACAGGCATGCACTATCATGTCCAATTCATGCAGTGCTGGCGATGGAACTCATGGCTTCATGCTGGGCAAGTACTGTACCAACAAAGCCACATCCCAGCCTTCTGTTGAGTTCTTGTAACAAATCCTCCCTTATTTCCTTCCCTGGGGATCTAAAGGCAGCATCACATCCCCTTGAGATATCTTAGGGAGAAAGGGAAGAACAGTGTGGAAATCAGAGGACAGCTCGCAAGAGTCAGTTCTCTCCTGCCACCACATGGGTGCCAGATATTGAACTCAGGTTGTCAAGCGTATGGTAAATGCTTTTTCCTGCTAAGCCATCTCTGGCCCTGAACACCCACCTTTGAAAAGGAACACATTACTAGGATTCCCGGTCCAGAGTCAGACAGGGAAAGACAGGGAGATGGGGTGGGAAATGGAAGAGGGTCTAAGCGTCTGCCAAACACAGCCTCTGCCCCCAGCCTGTGTCCCTTCAGCCCCTCCTCCACACTCGGCATCTATATGCAGGCTTGGCGATCATGAAAACTGACACCAGAGGTGGCAGAGATATTGCCGGATGGTGAGGTTTACTGGACATGAGGTGACACTGCCCTCATCTCTGCCCTCAGAATCCTAGAGGCTGCTGGCTCTCATCTCCAAGCCCCGGGGCCTTACCACAGTTGGGGGATGAACATCTTCTTGGTGCTGACATTCAGGCTCTGCCCAGCGTTCACTAGTGAGGAGGTGTTTACTAGTGGGAAAGTGGAAGTTGTGGCTGGGAGTGTAGTCTCCATGGGAGTTGTGGCTGTTGGAGATAAAGTCACATATCAGGCCATTCTGTCCCCAGCCTGTGCTGAGCATGTGTGTGGATCTGATGTTACATGGAATTATCCACTCACAGAGGGGCTCAAATGGTGCTTTGAAGCCAAACCCAGGCCACATTCTGGACAGGGGGCCTCTCAGTAGCTGAAGAAGCCTTCAGCAGGACTGGCCATAAATGTCACCTCTATCTGGCTCTGCCTGGAGGAGGACACAGATATCTCCCAGGGGTTCCTCCTGCCTGGTGAGGAGCCCAGGAGAGGAAGTATGGATGAATACAGTTCAGCCTGTGGCCTAAGGATCCTCTCAGAAACCATGAAAGGGTTGTCCAAACACCCTTCAGATGGAGACACTGAAAGACCATTTTTATTCGTCACTGGGGAGGAAACAAGTTGCTTCTCGGCTCCTCCCAATGACGTCAGATATTAGAACACTCTTGTAACTTTTACTCTTCGCCCCATGGCTAAAAGACCAGCCACTTCCTCCCTGCCCACATCCATACACACTCTCCCCACAGACCAACCCATCAAGACTGAAGGTAAAACTCAGAGATGCACTTCAGAACAACACATCCTTGTCCCACACCCAGCCACTCCCCCAAAGCTCTATTGCTGGAGTCAGGGAAGTCCTACCTGGAGAAACGTACACCTTGACCAAGACTGAAGGATCACGTGACAATGAATCCCAGATCCAGTATGTCTGGATTTTGCACCAGTAAGATCCAGCATCATCTTCACTGAGGTTCTCCATGGTCACTGTCAGGGTGTGGTCCCCAGCATCGTCTCTGATGGACACACGACCATTCCTTTCTTTTCCTTTGGTCTCCACGATGGTCCGACATTCTATGTCATCATTTCCTTGGCACCAGTATTTATTATTAGCCTCATATGATTTTTCATAATGACACTGCACATGCAGAGAGCCTCCCACGGTGCCAGTGACAGACCTGGGGCAGGTCAGAGACAAACAACCTAGAAAACACAAGGCTGAGTCTAGGTTCCCCTGCCGATGGGCCTGGCGGCGGCAGTTCACCTAAAACTTGGAGTAAGCTACTGGGGAGACATGGGAAGGGGACCAGGAGAGATACCTACGCTTGGTACCTAAGCCAGAGAATCTAGAGGCTATGGCAGGGAGACCAATAGAAACATGCCCAGTGAAGCACAGTGCTGAGTGGCTGCCTTGGGGACTCTGCCCTTGGGGCCTGGGTCAGTGAAACCAACGCCAGCATGAGGTCAGATCACACATAAAACACTTCTGAATTCAGACCTCTGCATTCTGGAATCTTCTACAAGTCAAACTTGTTCTTTAAAAAATATAACTTCTAAGTTGGGTGTGGTGGAGCCTTCCCATATTCTTGGCGCTTGGTAGGCTGAAGCCAAAAGATTGTGAGTTACACAGTGAATTATTTCAGGCCAACCTAAGCCATATAGCAAGACCCTGTCTCAAAAAAGGTACAATTTCTGATTTAGTCCACTGCTAAGATTAGGCTGCGCCCTCACCTACATCACTCCATGTTGTGTGAAGCAGCTTTTCAGATTGTGCCTTGCCCTGGGAGACTCCATTTTATAAGAAGATTTGACTCTATTTTGAGGCTGCAGAATGACCATACACCTGGTGGACACATGGACACCATCATCCAGCACTACCCACATGGCACAGGCCGATTCATGAGAAAAGGGGTTTCCATGACTTTTAAGGCCAAAATAGATGACTTTAGACTCCATGTGCTCTCATTTTATGGGAAGTTAAGAACCGAGCTGCTGCGTGTATCTATGTCTCTAAACTTTACACTAGATGGTCATTAATGATGTCAGAACTGGAGAGTTAGGGACTCAGCAATGTGTAACCCCAGCTTTTCACTGAACAGGATCATTTCTGATTCAGGGGCCTTTAGGGATGCCTAGAGGGAAAAAAATAGCCACCTAAGCACTGGTGCTGATCTGATCGAATGCTAGGTAAATGATAAGGGAGTCAGGCCTGTGATGTCTGCCCCAAGATAAGAGACAGGTAGGCATTGCCTCATCTAGGTTGGGAACTCGACAGCATAGGGAGTACCCAAGGAAACTATACTACTGTTGCGTCTTTCCTTTCCTTTTTCTTTTAAACACACAAGCAAACAGGATATAGTTTAGCCTCGCTATAAATTAAAAAGTAAAGTGACATTAAGGAAGGCAATCCGATCTGTAAGAATGTCCCCCTCTGCTATTTAGGTCTTAAACAGAAAAAGATGGGCTGGAGAGATGGCTCAGCGGTTAAAACACTGGCTGTTCTTGCTGAAGACCCAAATTCGAATCCCAGCATCCACATGGCAGTTAACAACTGTCCTTAACTCCAGTTCCAGGGGATCTGATGCTCTCTTCTGTCCTCCATGGACACTGCATGATACGGGTGCTCTTACATACATGCAGGCAATACATGCATACACATAAAATTAAATAATTTTTTAAAATATTTTATTTTTTATTTTTATTTTATGTGTATGTTTGTACTGCCTGTGTGTAGGTAAGTGCACCCATGTCATGCAATGCCCACGGAGGACAGAAGAGGCTTTTGGATACCCTGGAACAGTTGTTAGCTGCCATGTGGGTGCTGGGATTCAAACCCGGGTCTTCTGCAAGAAAAACCAGTGTTCTAACTGCTGAGCCATCTCTCCAGCCCCATAAATAAAAATTTTAAAAATAGAAAAAGATGTTGCCTTTTTAAATGTATTTTTTAATTTTTTAATTAATTTTTTATGCATATGAGTGTTTTTGCCTGCATGTATGTAAGTGTACCTGTGCCTACAATGACCACGGAGGCCAGAAAGGAACTTTGAATCCCCTGGAACTGGAGTTATGGATGGTTGTTAGCCACTATATAGGTGCCAGGAACTGAACCTGGGTCTTCTGTAAGAATAGCCAGTGCTTGGGGGCTGGAGAGCTGGCTCAGAGGTTAAGAACACTGGTTGTTCTTGCAGAAGACCGGGGTTTGAATCCCAGCACCCACATGGCAGCTAACAACTGTCCGTAATTCCAGTTCCAAGGAATCCATCAGCCTCTTCTGTCCTCCGCAGGCACTGCACGACACAGGTGCACTCACTTACATGCAATCAATATACACATACACATAAAATAAAAATAAATTAATTTTTTTATAGAGCCAGTGTTTTTTTAAAAATATTTTATTTATTATTTTCATTTTATGTGTATGAGTGTATTGCCTGCATGTATATGAGTGCACCTGTGTCGTGCAATGCCGTGGAGGTCAGAAGAGGGCTTCAGATTCCCCTGGAACTGGAGTTAAGGATGGTTTGTAGCCTCCATGTGGGTGCTGGGAATTGAACCCGGGTCCTCTGCAAGAGCAGTCAGTGCTCTTAACCACTGAGCCAACTCTCCAGCCCCAAGAATAGCCAGTGCTTTTAGTCACTGAGCTATCTCTCCAGCTCTAAACTTTTGACTTGGTTTTTACTGGGTACACCTGGATTTCATATAATTCTGTTTATTATTTTCATAGGGTTTGTTACATTGACAGTGATCAATTCTGAGTTGTGTATGTCATTGCCAACTTGGCAGGATCTAGAATCACCTTAAGGACAAACTTCTGAGCATGTCTGTAAGAGATGGTCTAGATTAAGTTAACTGTGGTGGAAAGACCCACCCTACATGTGAGCAGCACCATTTGATGGGCTGGGTTCCTGGGACTGCATAAAAAAGAGAAAGATGGGGCTGGAGAGATGGCCCAGTGGTTAAGAGCACTGGCTGCTCTTGCAAAGGACCTGGGTTCATTTCCCAGCACCCATATGGCGGCTAGTAACCATCCATAACTCCAGTTCCAGGGGAATCTGGCTCCCTCTTCTGACCTCTTCATGCATTGCATGACATGGGTGTACTTAACATGCAGGCAATACACTCATAAACATAAAATAATAAAAATAATAAATAAAATTTTCAAAGAGAGAGAGAGAGAGAAAGTTATGGGGGCCAGGGAGATGGCTCCATGAGTAAAAGCTTAGCTGTGCAAACCCCAATGACCTGAGTTTGATTTCCAGAACCCAGGTAAAAAGCCAACTGTGGTGCTGCAAATCTGCAGTCTGAGAAAGCCTGTGGTGAGATGGAAGGCCAAGCCAGGAGAATCACCTGGAAGCTCTTGGGCCAGCTAGCCTGGGGTATGAAGTGTAGCAGAAAAGCAAGAGACCAGCCTCAGCAAGGTGCAATACTGCTGAAAGTTGTTCTCTCTCTCTCTCTCCCTCTCTCTCTCTCTCTCTCTCTCTCTCTCTCTCTCACACACACACACACACACTATTTTATTTTAAAGGAGAAAAGCACTTAAACATGAGCATTCATCTCTGATTCCTGCAGGCTCAGTGTGACCAGCTCTCTCTTCAATCTCTTGCCACCAGAGCTTCCCAACCCTGATCAACTGTATCTCCTTGAACTGTAAGCCAAAACAAGCCCTTCCTCCCTTAAGTTACTGGTCAGGTGTTTTGTCACAGCAAGAAGGAAACCGAGCAATACAGTGTAGCAGGGAGACCAGCGGGAAGGACCCTGAGGTGCTTGGTGAACATGACCCGCTTAGCTTTATTCCCACAGCCTGGTATGAGTGCTGGAGGAGATAGATCTGGGCTTCATTTTCAGTTCTACTTAGTTGCTGTGTCATGGGGTCCTCCTGTCACTGTTGTATCTGTGAAATGGGGACGATGATGTCTTTTCCATCTAGGTCACAATTGCTCAGAGGATTAAATTTTTTTTGTTTTCATTTTGTTTTTTATTATTATTTTTTATGTGTATGAGTGTATTGCTTTGCATGTATGCAAGTGTACCCATGTTGTGCAATGCCTGAAGAGATCAGAAGAAAGCATCAGATACCTTGGAACTGGAGTTAGGGATGGTTGTTAGTTGCTATGTGGATGCTGGGAATAGAACCCAGGTCCTCTGCAAGAGCAGCCAGTGTTCTTAACCGCTGAGCCATCTCTCCAGTCCTTCAGAGAGTTGATCATAGATCACATATTGGTGAGATCATGTTATAGCTGCCATTTGGCACTTGGCTCATTTTTCTATCTTAAAATTATTTTATTCAAGTCAGGCATGGTGGCACATGCCTTTAAACAGGAGGCAGAGGCAGGTGGATCTCTGTGAGTTTAAGCCCAGCCTAGTCTACATATCGAATTTCAGGCCAACTAGTACTGAGACCTATCTAAAAATAAAATAAATAAAAACCAACAATTTTTTACTTTATTTAAACTATGTTTTCCAAAAGAGAGGGTTCTGTGGTAGTCATCTGTGAAAGTTTTTGTACCATTTTAGAACCACATTTTCTAGACCGAACTTTAAGTGGCTTTGCTGTCCTCTGGGCCCAAGAGACAGCAGATGATGAAGTAAAGTTTTTGAAGTTTCGATGGGCATGGTGGTGCATGCCTTTAATCCCAGCACTCGGGAGGCAGAGACAGGCGGATCTCTGTGAGTTCAAGGCCAGCCTGATCTACATAGTGAGTTCCAGGACAGCTGGGGCTACAGGGAGACCCTGTCTCAAAAAGACCAAAAAAAAAAAGTTGTTGAAGTTGTCCAGCATCTTTTGTGTAAAGTGAATGAACAGGTCAACTGAGGACGCAACAGCATTGCCTGCAGGAGTCCATGAGCTAGACTGTCGAGAAATACCACCCAAATTCTAATTCATCTAGTACCAGATGGAGTTCACACAGTGTTCATGGCTCCAAATGAGTATCGACTTCCTCTCCAGCTTCTCCACCACCAGGCAGTCAAACAGGGCAGTGTCTGTGGTGCCTCAACTCAGCCGGTCGGCACCTCAAGCTAGAGATCAGGAATCCAGTGGCCATTGTCCTACTCATACCCAGAACCTTCCAGAAGTTTCAGGGAGGGAACCTGCCCCTTCACTATATAGCAACGGGACCAGACCAGGACTGCCTTCTTTGTTTTCCTTTTGATTTTGATCAGGGTCTCACTATGTAGCCGGGCTGGCCTTGAATTCAAGATCCTCTTGCCTCAGGCTCATGAGTGTTGGGATTGCAGATAGGTACCACCACACCCAGGGAGTTTATTTTACTTAATATACTGTGTACCAGGTTGGTTCATGTTGTCACAAATAACAGGGCTGATTTGAGCTTTATACAATATGTATGTACATCAAAATAGCATGTTGTACCCTATAAGTGTGTACAGTCTATCA